TCCAAAAAGATATTGAATAGAAAATTAAGACAACTTTTGAGAGGCATAAGAATTGAGAATAGTTTTTTAAGTACTATATCCCTTGTATGCTAGGAAATAATCTCTTATATGCTACTCCGTAGGAAATAGGCCTGTTTGGGAGAAAGCTGAAAGCTGAAAGCTGAAACTGATTGAGTTAGCTGATTTTGACTAGCTGATTTTATTAACTGATTTGACTAACTTATTGTATTAACTGATTATATAAAAGTGTTTGGTAAATAGCTGATAGCTTAAAAGTGATTGAGTATGTGAAATGACCAATAAGCTAATTGTGGGGTAGGTAGTTTAGATAGGATTTTAAATTAAATGAGGTTATAAGTGTAATTTCACAATAATTATTGAATAAGCTAATTGAAAAAACTCCTAAAATGAGCTTTTTCAAAAAGAGCTTATTTAGTGGAATAAGCTCTTTCAATAAGCTTAGTACCAAACACTTGTATTAGCTTGTTTGACTAGTCAATCAGCTAAACTTAGTCAAATAAGCTAATATACCCTCAATAAGCTAACTACCAAACAGGGCCATAGTCTTTAAGAATAGGAAAGTCAACGTTTTTGTGCGCTTATTTTGTTTGATACTATCTGAAGACCAATTCAACTAAAAGTTTATTAATTTAATGATTGTTTTAGATTTTATCAGCTCCAATCCTTCCTAGAACCGATCCTTCCCAGAAACTGAATTAGTAACGGTGAGAAATTTCCGGATTTGTGATAAAATTCCAAGAAGGCAACCCAATTAGTACCCCATTATCAGCACATGATGGCCCAGCTTATAACCTACAAAAACATCTCATGTGCATCATGATCATCACTATATGTTCTTTCCTTAGCGATGTTAAATCAACTTAATTGAAAACCATATACTACTTGTATAATTTAACATCTCATGTCACTTTTTCAAGGATTATTATTGGTCATTCTTTGATAATTGAGTACAACTTCATTAATGCACTGCCAATTAATTTCAGGGTGTTTGAGAGCTAACATTGTCTTGAAACTTCCTTTTAAACGTAAGTTGACCGCAGCTAGTTTCATTGTTTTTTCCTCGAAAATATTTCTATGTGCACCTATTATAGATGAATACATAGAACTCCTGTAACTTAATACAAAATCTCTTTCTAGCATTTATCACTCACATAATAAAACGAAAGTGACTTTTAATTTAAAGACGGAGGGAGTATAAAATTATGGGAAGACAATTTACTTTACAAATGATTTTTGAGTTCAGATATACGTCACTACTTAAACTCATTAATACTTATCTCACTATTTTTTTTTAATAATTTTTTAATACTTCGACTACCGTATTTACCTTTTATTTTATTAAAGCCAATCAAATTGCATAAATGTGACAGTCAAAGTATAACACTTTAGAAACACGGATTGAGTACATTTTTTTAGCATGTTTGTCAACGGTACATATGATTTCAAACATTAATAGGCTCAATAATCATAAAGGGAAAAATTATAGGTAATACTTCCTCCGTTTCAATAATATTGCAACAATGGGACTTTTGCACTTTATCACTCTTGTGTGACCGTATAATATGATTTATACATTATACGTTAAGCAAAATATAATCATGTGGGATATTTTTAGATTCATCTTATAAAATACTTTCACAATATCAACTTTTTATAATTTTACTCTTATACATTTATAGATATTTAACATATAAAATGTTCTTTCAAATTCGTAATTTCATCCTTATTGCAATAATATTTAAATGGAGGAAGTATAAATTTAGAAAATAAACATTATTATAGAGATGGGTTCAATAAGAACTCATATGACTTATTTTAGTTATTTATATTTAATTTTTCTACGTATAAAACAAAAAAGAAAGTTCAAGTAACTTAAGCGAATAGTGCACGGAGTGAGTAAATAGAAGGAAGATAGTACGCAGTAGAATTTGCTTGATTAAAGGTCAGTTTAAGAATAGTTAAAAGCAATTCAAATGACCAACAGTTAACTAGTTAAGTGTGTCATAGGGATATAATGGTAATTTTGTACAACAATATATTATAGGTAAGAGGCCTTCCAAAGGGAGGTTAGTTATGTATGATTAAATGCATAACGAGGGGCATGGGTGTCATTTCACGTAAATGCATTTATGAATTTAGAGTAGTACCATTGGGTGATCAATTGTATCACTAGATGATTAAATGGTATCATTGAACATTTCAGTGGTACTATTTATGTATGTAGTGGTACTATATATTCATTCAGTGGTACTCACTATGTGTAGAAATAATATCACTATGGTAGAAATAGTATCACTACATAGTCAATGGTACTATTTAAGCTTTTAACGATACATTTAAAAAGTGACCCCACTTACCCATCTCTCTCCTCCTTTCTCTCACCCCTATGTGCTTTTTAATATTTTAATATTTGTTATACATTTGCAAATGCATAACTAACCTCCCTCACTACTTCCTTTTATAGAGGTAATGGGACCATACAATTTATAGAATAGTTAAAAGCAATTCAAATGACCAATAGTTTAACTAGTTAAGTCTGTCACAGGGACATAGTGGTAATTTTGTTCAACAATATATTATAGGTAATGGGACCATACACTTTATTTTGGAAATTTAATGTATGACTATAATCATTTTAGTGTCATTACAACCATTTATAATACTGTTACACTATCAATGGTACAATTTCACAACCTAACATAGTAACAAAATTATATATATATATATATATATATATATATATATATATATATATATATATATATATATATATATATATATATATATATATATATATATATATATATATATTAGATTTAAAAGTATACCATTATAGTAATATTTAGTATTAGATTTAAAAGTATACCATTATAGTAATCTTTAGTACCATTGTAACTACTTATGATACCATTCACTACTCAAAGGTACAAATTACAACTCAGCGGTATCAATGTTGTTTCTTATTTTAGAATTCTTTTATTTACAACAATGCTGTCAGATAATATAAAACTCCTTGATAAGAGTGATTTCCATTGATCAATATTTATAGGGTTATAATGAGAAACCTAATAATATTAGGTAACATAAGATATGTACAGATATCAATAAAGATAATCTTATACAAAATATATCTTAAACCTAAGATGAGAATATTATATCGATATTCTCTATCACACCCCCGCAGTCGGAGCGGGAGAAAATCGGATGCTCAACCTAGATCTAAATCACGCATCGAGTGGTAAGGATAGTATGGTAACCCATGATCAAAAGGGAAGTAGTAGACATGTGTCGGTGATGACGATGAGAAGCAACAACCACGACCTACGTAGAGTGGAGATAAGCAATGCTAGGCCGGGGGAGAAGGAGAAGAGCCGCACACAGACTTGGGCTAAGTTGCAGATCTAGAGAAGAAGAAGCTAAGGGATCAAACCATCATCGGGGAAAAGACACTACACTATTACATGAAATCACTGTTGAAGAAAAACAAATAATATTGCGCAAGAAAAAGATTAAATTCCACCGCTTGGAATTAATCAATTCTCAAAAGAGAAACCTAAGTAGCAAGAATCAATACTCCACAAAGATTCCAAGTGCTGCAACAATAAGAGGAGCCAACTTGATAGCAAAAGAGATGTGCAAAAGTTAACCTTATTCTGGTATACCACCACCAAAACAAAATATATGTGATTATGTGTAGAAAAACCAATGGGGCAATGTAAGAATCATTGTTGGTCATGAGGAGGTGGAAATAGAGTGCAACACATGGAGTAAGTTGGCAGATATGGTTACTGCCAGTAGTGGGAGGCATTAGTGTATGCGATTGCCAATGATGGAGGCGGCGTTCGCGGCTGCTACTATTGGTGGGAGGCGCAAGGCTAAATAAAGATTCTAAAAAAAACTTTTGAGAAAAGGAAAAAAAAAAAATCTATATCTGTGTGTGTTTGCGGAAGCATAAAAAATTTGTGTATATCCCGCCGGTGGGTTTAATTTTTTTAACCCACCGGCAGGGTGAGAATTTTTGTATATGATCCCAAGATCTCACCTAAGCTGTGATACCATGTTAAAAGGAAAAAAAAATCTATATCTGTGTGTGTTTGCGATGTTATGCAATTACAAATACATTAGTTGCACTATTTTCTTTTTAAGAAATTTTTATCCATCTAATTAAATTTTTTCTTGAGTTGAGTCCCATACTAAGGCCCTGTTCTATTCACCTTAAAAAATTAATAATAAGTAAAAATAATTTCATTTCAGTAAAAATAAGTTCAGTTCAGTAAAATTAATTTCAATTCAGTAAAAATAATTTCAATTCAGTAAAAATAAGTCCAGTTCAGTAAAATTTAGTTTTCTTAAAGAAGAATTATAATAGAAAATCAGTAAAAATAATCTCAGTTCAGCAAAAATAATTTCAGTTCAGTAAAATTAATTTAAGTTCAGTAAAAATAATTTAAGTTCAACAAAAATAATTTCATTTCATTAAAAATAATTTCAGTTCAGCAAAATTTAGGTGAATAGAACAGGGCCTAACACACATTCATCCTTTTACTCTATACTGTTATATTTGCTTAAAAATGGATAGGGTTGAAGGGATGAGTGTAACGCGTGGCAGATTAAATTATTTAAAATATTTACATTTAGGTTTAGAAAATTAAGCCAGTTATTCATTTTGGTACAATTTTTGTATGACATTCAAAAAATATACTTCCTCCGTTTCTTTTTACTCGCAATAATTACCATTTTTAGTCGTTACACATTACTTGCAATAATTTTTTTTCTTTCCTTTTATGGTAGGTTTTTTTGTATGATTTTACAAAATTACCCTTACTTTTGTTTTTAAACACCCTAATTAAACTACTGATTTTATCTCCATTACCTTAAACATTACATTAATTAACTTAACCATTTCCACCAAAATCATTCCCCTCCAAATTAAATTCATCAGCACTTTCAATTGTCAACCACCACCACTACTACCACCACCACCACCACCACCACCACCATACCTAGAATTTCTCTCTCTTTCTTCACCAATCTCCCCTCATTGTCGCCGCCTTCCTTTTTTTTCTTCCATTTTCTTTTCTTTTCTTCCTTGATGCCACCGTCCTCGTAGTGGGATTTGTGGGTTTTGTGGGTCAAAATCGGTGGTGGGCGAAATAGGTGGTGGGTCGAAATCGGGGTTGTGGGCGAAATAGGTGGTAGATTGTGGGTCGAAATCGGGGGTTGTGGGTCGAAATCGGGGGTGGTGGGCGAAAAGGTGGGTGGTGGGTCGAAATCGGGGGTTGTGGGCGAAATAGGTGGGTGGTGCTAGGTCGAAATCGGGGGTTGTGGGTCAAAATCGGGGGTGGTGGGTCGAAATCGGGGGTTGTGGAGGAAATAGGTGGTGGGTTGTGGTGCAAAATCGGGGTTGTGGGTCGAAGGGGTGGTGCTAGGTCGGAATCGGGGGCGGTGCGCCGGTGCTGGGTCAAAATCGCTGATGGGTGGTGGTGGGTTGTAGTGGGTTCGGTCTTTGCTGGTGGTGGTGATAGGTGGACAGGTGGTGGTGGTGATAGGTGGATAGGTGATGGCGGTGTTTCGTAAATTCCAGTTTCTGGGATTTCAACTTTGATTTTTTTTTTTAATAATTTTTAAAGTAGGATTAACACACTTAAGTGTATGCCCTTATTTTTCATTAATCATGGTTTCAATATTTTGCCTAGGAGTCCGTTCTTCCCCTCTTTGTTGCGAGTAAAAAGAAACGGAGGGAGTATAAGAATTTTATTTAACAAAGCCGAAAAGGGAACTGAAAGTTGCAAAACACGAGTCACGGTGAGAATTTGGTAAGTTTTCATGGGTTTTTCAGGCTCTAAAGTAACACGCATGAAGCATAGTATTATGTGAGCTTTCAGTCACTTCAATTGTCCTCCAATGGTAGTGGTCATGGCAAGCCTTGTTTATGGGACGAGTTAAGCGTCTTGCCTTAGCTACAATTCATAAGTACATTTAATCCTTTTGTTGTTTATGTGTGTGGTTTGATGTTTTTGGTTGTAATGTAGTTCTTTTTAGCTCTTATAGTTATAATTTATGACTTTCATTATATGAAATCTTTGTAAAAAAAATAAAATAAATAATAACAAAAAAAAAAGGAAGCCAAAAAGAAACGAGGGATGTTATTTTGTTAACTTGTTTGGTTTTTTCATGTATTAACTTATGAAGTTCAATTTTTCAGTTATTCAACATCCTTTATGGTTTAACATTTTCTTAAACGATTACATGCTACCCTAATTGAAAATTTTGGATATGCCATTGCATGCAAACTCTATTTATGTTCAAATCCATAAGTTTATGTATAATACGTACTGTCAAATTCTGTCATAAAATCGTTAAAATAAATACTTTAATAATAAATATCTAGCTGTTGTAAGAAAAAAAATAACCACACTTTAAACTATGTGCATAATCTAAAATTTGTTTTATTCATATAAAACTAAAGTTATATCATCAATATTTATATAAGTAATTCATGGCTAGTACAATCAAAATCCTGAAATCAATTACATTTCATTTCATGAGCATCAAAACCCTAATTTCAATAATTAATTAGATCTAAAGATTACTTTAGTTATAATTTCTAAACAAAACATATATAACTATACATAAAGATGATTTATATGCTAATTATGATAATTAATAACAATAACAATAAACAACTACTATCAAAATAATACAGTAAGGCCCTGTTCACTCCACTTTAAAAAAATAATTTTAAGTAAAAATAATTTTAGTTCAGTAAAATTAATTTCAGTTCAGTAAAAATAATTTTAGTTCAATAAAAATAATTTGAGTTCAATAAAAATAAGTTCAATTCAATAAAATTCAGTTTTCTTAAAGAAGAATTATAATAGAAAATCAGAAAAAGTAATTTCAGTTCAGCAAAAATAATTTTGGTTCAGTAAAACTAATTTAAGTTCAGTAAAAATAATTTAAGTTCAACAAATATAATTATGTTTCAGTAAAAATAATTTCAGTTTAGCAAAAATAAGGTGAAGTGAAGGGGCTTAATTATATAAAATAATATAAATCATAACAAAAAAGAGGGGGGGGGGGGGGAGAAACCAGTAGCTAAAGGAGGTTATAGAGTGACAGAGTAGGCGATCCTGTGATTGACTGATTGTCAACGGTGTGTGGTGGGGGGGGGGGGGGGGGGGGGGGGGGGGGGGGGGGGCGGTTGTAGTTGTGGTTTAATAGTAGCGTTGTAAAGGCAAAAACTTGTAAAGGGAATAACGTAACTCTTTGAATAAAATTATGAATTGAGCACTTCTTTAATCCAATCATTCAAGGGTTTTTTTTTTTTTAATTTTTTTTAATTTAATGTAGAAAACAAAAGACTACTTTAAGCGAAAATGGATACAAATTAAATCGGCTTAGAGTAAGCTGAATGAAAACACTACGAAAGTGAAGAGAGAATTTTTTTTTTTTTTTTGACAATTACCACCTATAATTGTTTGGATTTTAGTAATTACCACCTACATTTTTTTTATATATTTTTTTAAAAAAAATTTGTATTACCACTTACTATTTTTTTTAAAAATGAAAATTTCCCACCTGATTGCCTACATGACATCATTGTGGGCCCTATTGACGGACTTTTTCAATATTATTCCTTTTTCTAACCTTGTACTTCGATTTTTGAATTACAAATCCAAATTATGCAAGAAAACCACTAAAGGGTTCGTTTGGCATTGCTGTGGTTTTCTGTTTTTTGGTTTTTTGTTGTATAAAAGTATATGATATATGTCACATAATGAATGAAAAATTATTTAAACTTATTAGAATCATAACAGATATGAAAACTGACAATAGAAAAGTGGAAACACCTTTTTCTTGTTTCCTGTTTTTGGTTTTTGGTTTTCAAAAAAACAGGAAACAGAAAACCAAAAATGATGCCAAACAAGTCCATATTTTTATTGGGGCTAACTATACGATGGTGTTCACCATTTAGGGTTTTGAAATGAAATTAGGAGTTTGTTTTTTAGTGATTAATTTATGAAATTGTGAATAGTTTGCATCGATTAAACGTATTATGTCTTCAATTTGTATCAAAATTGATATTATTGTTAAGAAATTATTACTAATTATTGATATGAAAAATTAGGGTTCATTTGTATTTTAGGAATATTTTAAAATCAAACGTCGCATTTTTCTAAATTATGATTTGCAATCCTAAATTGAGCATATATAGTAGTTCTATATAGAGTTAATCAATGTAATAAATAATGCTAAATTTGAAAAATGATCTTAGTTTGAAAATTTTCCTAAATTTGGGATAAACCTTAAATGAAGAACAACAAATTATAATTGACACATATTAGTGACTTAAATTATGTTCGTGTGAGCTTCAATTATGTTAAATCGATTACTAAATGCTTTTTCTTAATCTAATTTTAATCTATATTGAAAAAAAAATCATTGAACATGAGAATTGAGGAAAAATAAGGCATCATGACGTCATGGATGTGGGCTTGGGAAATCAAGTGGGAAATTTTCATTTTTTTAAAAATAGTAGGTGGTAAAATACAAAATAAAAAACTGTAGGTGGTAATTACTAAAACGACAACAATAGTAGGTGGTGATTTCCAAAAAATAGAAGAGGATAATAAAGTCATTAGGGTTTTCCCTAAAAAAAAGTCATTAGGGTTTTTCCTAAAAAAAAAAGTCATTAGGGTTTGCAAAAATTGTAAAATAGGGGGGTTTAGAAGTGTTTATAATTAATCATGAGCTACGATACAACTCAATGTGGCTTGGAACTTGGATGGATAGCAAGTCTTAATGATTCATTTAGGATGTTTTTAGTTGACCATATATTTGAAATTAGGGGTTTGCATGTCCATTGAATAAATGAAAAGTTTTATTAAGATATGCCCTTAAAGTTGTTGAGTTTCTATACACCACAATTTGTTAGTTGACAGAAATCCTAAGAAAAAGATAGAATGAAGAAGAAACAAAGAAACAGAGAGCGAAATCCTAAGGAAAGAGAACGAGAAGGAGAAGAGGAAAGAGTATGGGAAGGAGAATAGGAGGAAATTTCGTGAAAGAGAAAGGAAAAAAGGAAAGAGAAAAGAAAAAAAAGAGAATATAGAGAGCAAATCAGGGAGGAGGAGGAGAACTATGAGAAGAGAGAGAAAGGAAAAGGAAGAGTTAGTAAGGAAATAAGAGTGATGGAGGCGGTTCATTAATATTAGGGTTAGGGTGAGTTCGGCACTCATTTTATACCTTTTAATTTTTTTAAAAAAAAATTTACCCTTTTGCGACCGTTTCAAAAACGATCGCAATTCTCGTAATTTGCGACCGCTTGGCGGTCGCAAATAATATTGTTTTTGTTTAGTTTTATTTTGGAAAAATTAGAAATTATAATCCCAACTTTCATCAATTTTGCTACATTAATCCTAACTTTGGATTATTCTGGAATAATCCGAACTTTAGAGTTCCTCTTTTTCTTCAATCCCAAAAACCGGTAACCGGTTGAATGAGTTAATTTTTTTTACTTTTAAAAGTGACACGTGTCACTACTGAATTGGCTAAAATAATTTCTAAAAAAAAAAACTAACCAACCCCCAAAATCTCATCCACCAGCCACCTCAAAAACCACCAGCCAACCCCCAAAACAACCAGTTTAACCCTAAACGACGGCGCTATTCCCTCCCCCTGCACCGGTTTCCTCTTTCCCCTCCCCTTGCGTCGGTTTCCCCCTTCCCCCTCGCCGTTTCTCCTTTTCCCCCAATCTCCTCCACTCGAAATCGCCGCTTAAATCCGGTCCCCCACTCTCGAAAACCCTCAAAAACTCTTCCCCACCGTCAAAAACCCTAGCCGCTTAGGGTTTCGGGGTTGTGAGAGGAACGATTGGGGGTTTTTGGCAGTGAGAGAGGTTTCGTTGGTGGATTTGGGGTTTCGGGGAGGTGGTTTCGTGGGGAATGAGGGTTGTTTCAGGGAAGAAGGAAGACGGCGACGCGATGGAGGTTGTTTCACGCGGCTGGTCGGCGACAAAGGGGTGGAAAGTTGGCCGTGAGGTGGTGGTTAGGGTGGCTGGTGGGGGAAGGGGAGGCTGACTGGTGGTTGGTTAGTTTTGGGTTTTTTTTTAATTTTTTTTACCAATCAAGGATTAACACGTGTCAAGTGACCTGATATAATAGGTCATTGACTTTTGTTGACCGGTTTGGGATTGAAGAAAAAAAATACCCCCTAAAGTTCGGATTGTTCCAAAATAATCCAAAGTTGGGATTATTATAGCAAAATTGATGAAAGTTTGGATTATTATTTCTAATTTTTCCTTTTATTTTTCACATGATTTTTTTTAAAAAAATGATAAAATACCATTGCGACCGTTTAATAGGAAAAAAACGGTCGCAAATCTACGACCGCCTTAGAAACGGTCACAAATTTGCGACTGTGTCAAAATCGGTCGCAAATTTTATATTTTGCGACCGTTTTAATGACGGTCGTAAAAAAGCGGTCGCAATTTGACTGAATTTTAGTAGTGTATAGTGTACCCATACTTTTTTAAAATTACAACCTGATCCCTCTAACTTGAGGTGTTTAATCAATCGTACCCTCCAACATTTACTCAACATTAGTAATAAAATTCAATAAAACAATCTACATGATTAAGATTTTTATTTTTCTTTATATCCCCCCCTTTTCTTTTTTCTCTCTTCCCTCTTCTCTCTCATCTCTCTTCAAGGATTTTAGTTTTCTTGGTCATTTAGGCCAAAACAGTCTAATTTCTTCAGAAATTAGACTATTTTCGACCCTTTTTCTTTTATTCAATTTAGTTTTTTTTGTTTTGTTTTACGTTTAGTTTTGTTTATTTTGTTTTGTTCTCTCCATCTGTAAGAGTCTATCCTAATTTTCTGGTTTTTTTCCCCCAATTTTTAAGGATTTTGATTCTCATCCATGGATGAGAATTTTATTTTTAGGGCACTTATAATAATTGTGAAGGTGATTTGGATTCCCATGATTCTGGGATTTTTCATCAACAAGTCAATTTAAACATCAGCGCAGATTGTGGAGGTCTCAACTTGGAAAGATGCAAAGACATCGAAAATCATTGCTCGCGTCAAGTTTGAAGTGGTGGAGTATGAGTGTAGACACCCAATTGTGTCTCCCCAAAACCAAAACTAGTGAT